AAATGGGAGCCCCGCCTGAAAAGGCTATGCCACGAATGTCAGCAGAGACATCAGGAGAGGGAGGACAGGACACGGAGTAGGCGGGAAAGAGCAGGAGAGATGCGTGTGCAAAGAAGCCTGTCTGGTTTGAAGAGAGAGCTTTGCAGAGGGTGAGCGGTAGCAAGTGGCAGATGACCTTGACCTTGCTGGACAAACAATCAGGCGGCAGCGCAGATTTGTGTGTGCCTGTTCATGCGGGGTGACCCTCTTTCAGACAGACTCCTCGGCATGCTTCCACTAGGACCCGGTGTGCCAGTCCCCCCAGCAGCGTCTGGGCAGCTGGGAATTTCATCACCAAACCTTGGGCATCTCCACCCCACTTGGCAGGAGGGCTCGGGGCTCCGTTCTCCCAGCCCAAGGCCCCAGCGCCTGTGGTGTGTCCACCAGTCTCTCTCTGTACCCACCTCCATGTGGCTAAGAGATTAGCCCACCTGGGTCCCCCTGTCTGGCCATCTCTTCTCCAGGCCTGTTGCCATCCCATTGTAGGTCCCTGGGTCCTGAGAAATTGGAAGCCTTCATCCCATCAAATCTCCCCTAACGATTTGTGTTTGTTTCATTGCTTTGGATAAAAGAAACAGTTGGATGTTTGGGTTTATTTCTCTTATCAGACATTCTGGCCTGTACTCCTCTTCCTCCGAAGTGCTAGTGGTAGGAGGTAGGAGGCCCAGGGTGGAGGTTGAAGACCCTCTTACCCACTGATGATGATGATGATGGCCATGCCCAACACTGGCCAGATGCTCCGGTGAAGTGCTTGATCCATTGCCTCCCAGACGTCCTGAGAGGTGTCGCCTCCATGGAGCCCATGGATCAGTTCATGACAGGCAGAACTGGAACCCGGGTCTCTGCCCATGCCCCCATGCCCCGGAGCCTTCCTCCCTGGTGGGTTTGCATCGGCACCCACCCCCTTGTTGGGGCCCTTTCCGTTGCCGGTGGGCTAAGGGGCACAGGGTCAAAGGGGAAAAACATCATTAGGCTGAGAGCCTGGGCTCCAGAGCCAGACCACCTTGATCTGTGTGCTCCCCAACCCTTAGCTGTGTTACTCAGCAGATTTCTTAACACCCCTGTGTCTCTGGCTTCCCGTTTCTAACGTGGGGATGGTGCCGACAGCTCAGGGCTTTTGTGAGGCTTCCGCGAAGCGGTCCTTGTGCATGGCTGCAATTGCAGAAATAGCACTTACGAAGGGGCGCCCAGCCTGGGCGTCAGCCGAACCCCTCTGCCCATGGGGAGCCCACAGGACACACCTGCCCGGGAGGTCGGCTGTCCGAGTCCTTCCCATCTGGCCTCCAACAGGACCTCGTATCTGTTTCACAGAACCTGTTAAGTCCCTTGTCCCCTCCGATGCCAGGGTGGGGGTGTCAGTGAGGGAACAAGCTTAGAGAAGGACAGAGGCCTGCCCCAGGTGACACAGTAACCTGGCAGTGAGGCCTCCGCTGAATCCGTACCTCCAACCTTTTGTCCAGGCCTCCTGCTCACCAGTTGCAGGTCAAACGAGACACCCCCTCCTCCCTCAAGAAAAGCAAATGCTCCCCAGGAGGCTTTGGCGGGGCTTGGCTCTGGTGTGTCTGGATAGTTTTGCTTTGACCCTGACTGCTGGCCTCCCTACCCCATTCTTGGGCAAAGTGCCACCCAGCTTCTGCCGTGCCAGGAGATGGGGGCTTCTGGGGTGCTGCTCCAGTCAGGGGTCCATTCCCCGTGGCATCCCAGAGGAAGGCAGAGTGCTTGTGGAGCTGGGCCCCCAGCAACCAGAGGAGCCACCCCAGAGACGGTGGGTAGACAAAAGGGGTCTGCAGCCCTGAGAAGCCCTGTTGTTGCAGATCCAGTGGGCAGTATGCAGGGAAGGAGCAGAACCAAGGCCCATGGTGTCCATTCCTGTGTGCATTTCACTCCGCAACATTTCCTGGCTTCCGGCCCCCTACCAGGCCCTGAGCTGGGCCCCTGGACTGCCTGGAGGGCTGTCCCTGTGCCAGGCTGGGGCCAAGGACCCTTTTCACCTCTCAGGTGCTAGGATTCAAAGTTCTCAGCCCCTCCTGGGCTCACGAGCATGAACCGTGGCCTTTCCCCAGGTGTCGGTGGTGTCAACCAGGCAGATCCGCCCCCATCCAGCAGGTGCATGCCACTGGGGCTTAGTCCCAGCGAGGAGGACTTGGGGGCGTGAACCTTCCCTCCTGCCATCCCTCCCCTGCCCCATCCCATCTCATCCTCATCTCCATTCTCTCCGCCGGTTCCGTCGGCCGCGTGTTCCATTGCCATCTCCCACACCAGTGTCCAAGAGACGCAAGGCCCATCTGCGGCGTCTGGATCGCCGGTGGACGCTGGGCGGGATGGTCAACAGGCAGCACAGCCGAGGTGACTGGCTTCTCTTGACCCGCAGCTGCCACCTCTCTTCCTCCCGCTCACTCGCTAACGCTCTGCCTCCTCTCCCACCTCTGCCCCTCTCCTCCCTGTGGCCTCCTCACCCGGATTCGGTGGCCAGACTTTCTCTCACCTTCTGCGGCTGGGGTGTGTCAGGGAGGAGGGCGCAGGGGGCTGCCTGGGAATCGGGGTGATTGGGAACTGGGGGCAGGTCTGGCTTCTGCCAGCATCCTGTGGGTGAGGTCATGGGACTCGCGACGTGACTGTGGGAGCAGCTAGACTAAGAAAAGCCGCATTTGCCCCAGAAGCCTCAGGTGAAGAGAACTAGGGGTGTGTCTGGAGCGTGTCCCGCTCGTCCTCCGCCCTTTGCTGCCCGCTTCCTCTGAGGTGTTCCCCCAGCCAAAGCTGTCCTAGCAACTGCTTAGGACCAGCCCTTAGCCCTCCTCCTTCAGCCAGCTCCGGGGAAACTGGAACGGGAGCAAGAGCCCGGCCCGGCTTGGTCCTGGGGCACAGCCCCCACCAGCGCTGAAGGCGGCAGCGGGCTCAGCCAGGAGCCTCCAGTGTCCTCAGCACTGGGCATTGGCACTTCGTGAGGGGCCTGATCGAGAACATTCCAGGGAGGCTCCTGGCCTGCCATCTGGGACGATCGGGAATCGAGACATTTGTAGGTCTAGGGCCTTTCCAATATCTAGGAGCTTGAGGAGTAGAGAGATTGGGCCGGAGCCCCAAACAAACCCCTAAACGTCTCCAAAGCCCGCAGGCCAGGGGGGCCCGTTTCTCTAATCTGCGGAGAACACAGCTGGAAAGACGTGTTCTAGCATAGCAGGGAGCCTGTGACCCTCCCCCCACCCCCAGAGCTTGCTCCTGAACAACTCAGAGACCATGCCCCAGGCAGCAGCAAGCCTGGGCCTGGAGGAGGCCACTGCCTGTGGCTGGCTTGGTGTCACGCCCGGAGCCCCGGCTGCTGCGGGAGCCCGGAGCCCAGCTTATCCGGTGGGTGGAGCAAGACTAGGACCCTGAGGCCTGGTGTGGGGCAGGAGGCCACCTCGTGAAAACAGCAAGAACAAGCTTGAACATAAAGCAGAGGCACCGTAGACCTAGGAGCAGTGAGGTAGCATGGCTGGGGGGCCAGGCCGGGCCAGGATGTAGCCCTGAGCCCTGGCAGCAGAGGACAGTGGGATACTGGCCCAGGAAGACAGCAGAGACGAAGGTTTGGCCTTCCCCCCTCCCCTCCAGCGTCTGCTCCGAGCACCATCATACACCGAGCCCCACACACAGCTCTGTCCCCCTAAGGTCACGGCCACTCAGAAGTGACGAATGCTCCTACCTGTGCACGGCCTTGATGGTGCCGTGTCCACCCACACTGCTCACACACACACACACACACAATCCCACTTGTGCACGCACGTGTAGACTGTTCCACACACACATTTACACAAATTCATCAGCTGGCTGCTCACGGCCACAGCTCAGGTACCCCTCCCGGGCAGTGCCTGCAGCCTCACACTTGACCCCTCACCACATATGCGCACAGTGCGTTCACAGGTACACAGAGTGGGGCACAGGGACATGCACACCCAATGAAATGTGTAGTTTTCTACAGACGCCATACGCAAATGTGCATACAGCCATGTGCAAATATGTAAGTGAACACAAGCCCGCAACTTCCCTCCCTCTCTCTGTCTCTCTCCAATAAGGGACCTAAATAGCATTATTTCCCAGTCTTAGCCCTAAGTTAGATCAGGGCTAAGTTAAATCAGGCAGCCAAGACAAACTTGCAGAGAGCTGGCAGGGAGAAACTCCGCGGCAAGCAGCGGCGCTGGTGGGGGGAAGCAGGCGGCGGGTCATCCACAACTAGACGAGAGAGGCCATGCTTCCCTGGGGCCTCCCCTCCCCAGCCCCACCACCAGCCAGGCCTTTGGAAGCAAAAGTCCTCTTGCCGTGGGGCTGGGGAGGTTGTGGGGGCCGGGAGGGGAGCCAGGGAGACTGCTGACAGAGGGGAAAGCATTTGAAAGAGGAGGCGTCTGTGGTTTTGGAAACTGCAGGGCTCTCCAGCCCCCGCCTCCAAAACCAAAACAGGCCTGTCCACCTCCCCCAGCCAGCCACCTACCCAGCCAGTGGGCGGCCTGGGCAGCCCTCCCTAGGGCCAAGTTGCCACCAACCTTTGATGGCACATGAGAATGACCATGGCCTCAGTGCTTCCCAGAAACCCTGAGGTGCCCGCCAGAGCTTACAGAACCCCTCTCCTCCACTTGGATTCCTAAGAGTCTCTTCTAGAGACCCGAAGCCCCCCGAATGACTCAGCCCCCACCCCAAGACCATTCCAGGCGGGACATCCTCCATCCCGGTTCCCCGCCCCCGGGTGGGGTTGAAGCTCTGGGCCAGTAGAGGGGCCCACTCTGCTCCCTCGGCGAAACCTGGGAGCTAGGAACCTGAGGCCTGCATGGCACGTGTCTACATGGAGGTAAGCCACACCTCCGCCATCTAAGCCAACTGGGATAGAGAAGTCAGCCCCCGCCCAGACCGACTGGAAGAGTTGCCCTCAGAATGCTTGTAGTCTGGAACCTGCACGGTGACATCTGGAACCTGCACGGTGACAAGGCAGGACACACCTCTGAGCTGGCCAGACCTCTTCCTGGGACTCTAAACTCCCAGACATCTGTGTTCATGGCAGCGTGAGGGCCACTAAGCAGGGGGCCTCTGGCAGGAGCTGCTCAGCTTCCCTGGGTAAGACGGAGGGGCCTGGCTCTGCCCTCCCGGAGAGGATCAGGGGAGAGCGGGGCACGTACATGGCCCTCGGGGCTCTGTCCTGAGCACCCCACACACTGGAGGCTGCAGAGGCTGCTGCTCGGGCCTCACAGCCCCGGAGCCCAAGCCCACATGTCCTGCTTGAGGCCCTGCTCACCACCCTGCAGCAGGACAGGGCCCCTCTTATCTCCCTAAGAGGAGGACTGTAATTTTTCCCTGCAAAGCAACTTTGCCTAGGAAAAACTTTAATGATGGCTTCCTGCTGGAACCACAGGCTTTTAAAAATAGTCTAGCTGAACAAAGGCAAAATGTGGAGCCCAGGCCTCGCCTCACCCTAACCTCAGAACCCTAGATCCTCGGGGCCTGGCACTGCCCTTCTGGACGCGGCGCCAGCCAGGATTGACCGTGCCCCACCGGAAGATGGAGCGCGACCAGCAGCCGGCAGGAGCGCCGAGGGCTGGCCTGCAGAACACGGCGCTTCGCAAAGGCCCGAGTCAGAATCTGGCTGGACCAGGTTCTCGGGCGGTCTTGGCAGCTCTCCTCAGAACTGAAAGCTTCCAGGAGTTAGTGGATGGTGAGAAAGGCCTGCCTCCGGGAAGAGCTTCACCTTGCGCAGAGCACGCTGAAGAGCGGTGGAAGCTCCCATGGGCCGTCACCTACGTCTGCCTTGGGCGGCCTCTCAGATGCGGCCGGACCCCTCAGCAAAGCCCCTGCAGCCCGGCAGGGAAGCCACATCCACCCCAGAGGGAGCTGCCGCCCCGGCCCAGCGCCCGGCTACAGACCGGACCCCGAGAATCCGTAGTGAACAGATGGCCCTCCTGCCACCGGGGGTTGGAGTGGCAGCTGCCCCCCTCCCCAACTCCTGCCAGAGGCTCAGACCAGGCCACCCATCGGAGTCCAGCCCAGGAGTCCAGGAGCTGGGAGGAGGGAGACAGGCATCTGAGAACCTGGCCTCCTGCTATTTTGAGCTCCTGGAAAGCCTCCCACTTAGTGCCGCTGCTCCGATAGCCTTGCCCTTCGGTGATGCTCTGCTTAGTCCCTTTGGAGCCCGGACCGAATTCGGCGTGACCCGCTCAAAGGGTGTGGCCAGGGGGCCAGTTCTGTCTAGCTCAGCATCTCGTTCTCCCAGATGGTGAGGGTGGGGATGTGTGCTCCTTCCTGAGATGTGAGCGTTCCCCTGGGGAGGCTCCCCACCCAGGCGCAGGGTTTCTGTGGCCAGCCGGCTGTGGGTCCCCGGAGAAGCCCCTCCCTGGATGCCTGAGCCAGGGCCCAGGGGAAGGCTGCAAGGGGCCCCTGCAGGAGAAAAGCTGAAGGGATCCAGGAAGCCAGGGCTGTCCCCACACCTGTCCTCCCAGGCTTTTTCTGAGTTCCCATAGGGCACATCCTTCCCAGTACTGGGGGGACCCTGAGCAAGGCTCCTGGGTACATGGGACCCTGCGGGCAGCTCCCCAGACAGGCGCTGCCAATTTGTGTGGTCAGCTCAGCATGCCTGCCCGCTCAGCGCTCCGGGAAGCTGTACCCAGGGCTGCCTTTGATCCTTTGGCCACTGAATGCTTGTCATAAAACACAGGTCACCATTCCCGTAGAATACATGTTCCCCATAGTCCTCTGGGGAACGTGATCTGATGAGGTGTTCAGATTAGTGGTCAGAGGAGGCTTCACCAAGGAGCCCCTAGAGCTGCTGGAAGGTCAGACAGAAGCAGGACTTAAGGCGTGGAGGTGGGAGAGGGCCTCAGCCAGTCTGGGGCACAGATGGAAGCGTGGCATGTTCAGAGAAGGGGAGCGCATCCCCGGCGGGGGGCTGCCAGACATCCCAGGGACTGACTGGCTCAGGCCCCATGAGGAGCAGGTTCTGCTAGCTGTGCCCTCCACCCAGGGAGCTTTGGGAGCCCTGAGGACCCAGGCCCCAGCACCCTGGTGGCTGTTACCGGGCTGGGAGGCGGGGAGAGTCAGGCCACCTGAGGCCCTGGCTGGCTTCTGCACACACTGGGAGCAGCAGTGAGGCCCCGGCTAAGCAGGGCCAGGCCAGGGTGGGAGAATACAGGAATGAGGGGCCTGCACTCCAGCCTCAGATAACCATGCCTCCCTGCTTCGCTTCCCCCAGAGGAGAAGTACGTCACTGTGCAGCCTTACACCAGCCAAAGCAAGGACGAGATTGGCTTTGAGAAGGGTGTCACTGTGGAAGTGATCCGGAAGAATCTGGAGGGCTGGTGGTACATCAGGTAGGAGCCTCAGCAGAAGAAGGAGCTCCCTCTGCCCCCCTCCCCGACTGCGGGGCGGCCATGGGCAGGTGGGTGCCCCCAGAGCCCAGGCTCGGCTGCTTGAGCTGCACAGCTCGACCAGAGCGCTCGTCCTGCGGCTTCTCTCCGGGGATGTGGAGAGCAGAGATGGTGGCGGCCAGGGCGACACAGGTTGACGTGGAGAGCGTTGTGGCCGGGGGACACAGGGGTCCCGGCTCCGCCTGCAGCTGGTGGTGCGATCCCGGACCCAGGCGTCTGCCAAGAGGGTCCAGCACATCTAAATTTGGTTTTCTGTGTCTGTCCTGGGCTGCCTGGTACTCTATGGAGCTCAGGCCGCCCGAAGCGCTGGCGTCTGCAGGCCTGGTTGAGGTTCCGGTGGGCAGCCCCTGCTGCCCACAGCTCAACACTGGGGGGCCCCAGATGCCGGCTCTGCCCACGTTGTTCCCCTCTGTGGGGCTGGCTCACAGGGCTGTGAGAGCCAGGGCAGAAGCCAGGCCTGAGCCCAGGCCCAGGTCAGAGGCCTCCTCCTTCTCCTGCCCCCCACCTCTTGCAGGGCCTAATTGCATTTCCCAGCTGAGAAACCCATCTGGGAATGTGGGGAGGGGAGTGGGGAGCTTCCTTGGCAGTCCTGGAAGCACACTCAAGCCTTTGGGCTTCACTCACCTCTTCCCTACCAGGTCATGCCCTCCAGTCCCCTCTGCTCTGGGGCTCTGAGGCCAGCCAGCACCCTCCCAGAGGGGACCTTACTCGCAAGAAATGTTTTTGGGTGCTTTGGAAGCAGCTTAGCTGTGGTGATTTCACCCAGTTTCAGACAATCCCATATCTGTGGGCTCTGGGGACCACTTCCTCAGCCCCTCGCACCTAAGAACCCCGGACCTGCTATGGGCAGGATGGGTGCTCTGAGCTGTGTCCCACAGTGGGAATAGGATTGACCGATAGGACGTGGGCATTCATCCGATGGTATCTTGGACCATGGCAGACCGTGGTGGTGTCAAGATTGGGCTGTGCTGACAGGTAGGGTGAAGGTCACTGGCCTCACGGGAATCAGCCTTAATGTGACCTGACAAGACGTGACCACCCCTGCCCATAGCCCCATGTATATTGGTCAGGAGGGCTGAAGGGTCCCTTTCTGCTCTTGGTTGAGACAAGACCGTAGGCCTGGACAGATGTTGCCCAAAGCCGCTGCCCCTAGACTTGGATATTCTCTAAGAAACTAGACCCAGCCCCGAAATCCAGCAACCGCAGATCAACATGGGAATGCCAGCAGACATTCTAAGGCAGGCTGGTAAGCTAAGCCACTTGCCTAGGGGTTATTTACAAGGCTGCTGGGGTTTTTTAGTTTCCTAAGATGACCAACAAGGTCACCCCAAGCCATCTCTTCTCGCCAGCTCTTGTTCCCATAGCCTAAGTCTTTAGCTGGCGGGAGCTTCCACTGAGAAAACCATCCTGAAAAGAGTCCACCTTAAAAAGGCTACCAGACACCCCCTGAAATGGGCTCTTTCCCACCATTCCAGGCTCTGTGTTGATCCTCATTTCCTGTCTCCCTTCTCCCCTCACACACACATACCCTCCCTCTCTCTCTATCCCTCCTTCTCCAGTTTGCTTCCCTCTGGAGTCATTCCGTGCTCCAGAGCTGGAAAGCAGATGTGAGCACAGTTGGACCCAGACACACACAGCCGCTCCTGATTCCCCTGCATCTCTCTGCCCAGAATCTAATTTTATCCATGTTAACACCAGAGGAACACAACAGGGCTTGAAATGGGAGCACTCAGGGTGCAGGCCTTACCGTCACTCCCATGAGACCCCACTCCCCATCTCCCCAGTATTTTTGTAGAAAAACACCCCAACAGCCAGCAGGTTCTTCTTCTTTTCTCTGAAATGTGGGAGCACCAGGTTTTGGCCCTGGTCCTGCCCACGGCTAGCCTGTGGTCCTCTGCTCCTTGTTTTGCTTTTCTGAGCCTTGGTTCTTGTCTCACAAGATAGGACATCTTTACATCTTCTGTTCCCAACCACCCCTGAAATTTTTGTGCTTCTCTCTGCACCCATTACCTTGGGAAGCCAGGCCAGCCCCTTGAGTTCCATCCATTTGGTAACTGATGTCTGCCTTCCAAGCCCCAAACAGGGGCGGGGGCCAGGCCGGTGAGCTTGGGAAGCCTGCCTGTACGTTCCAGTGGTGTGAACATAAGGAGCCACCTCCTACCTGAGCTTTCCAGCGAAGCTCAGACATGCTGATAGAAACTTTAGCTTCCACATTCTTTTTTCTCTCACCTAATGAACACCCAAGAACAAGGTCAGATCAGGGAGGCAGGAGAGGGGGAATTGTCAGACATCTGGCATGGAGGAGTCATTCCAAAGAGCCAGATGTATCCCCGGGAGCAGGCAGGGACATTACAACCCAGACTCAGGGGCATCGGCCAGCAGCTGCTGGACCAGGAAGTAAGCTCTTCATGGGCTTGGGGAAAAAAGGAGAAAGCTTCTTTTCGGAAGCCATCAGATCACCTCAAGTCAGCCCTGTCATTTGCCTTTTGCTCTTGTTTATGGGGTTTTTGTTCTCATTTTGTTTTGTTTCGTTTTGGTTTTGTTTTGCCATACCAAAGGTTTTCATTTGATCCAGTCATGTGCTTTTAGTCATTCCATTTATGGTTTTGGCTTTTGGAGTCCTGTTAAGAAAGATTTTCTCAACCCCCAAGATAAAGCAAATATTCACAACTTGCATTTTCTATTTTGCTCTATGGTGTGAGGCCAGGATCGTACTTGCTTTTCCTAATGGGGTAATCTGTCATCTCCAAGTGGGTTATTGATACCTCATCCCTACCTACGATGCCATCGTGCTATCGATACCATCCCTACGACTAATTTGCAATGTTACCTTTCTTGTTTTTTTCAGATTTTACTTATTTATTTGAGAGAGAGAGCGCGCGCATACAGCAGGCAGAGGGGTGGTGGAGAGGGAGAAGCAGACTCCCCTCTGAGCAGGGAGCCTGATGTGGGCCTTGATCCCAGGACCCTAAGACCATGACCTGAGCCAGAGGCAGACACTTAACTGACTGAGCCACCCAGGCGCCCCTGAAATGTTGCCTTTGGTGTCAGTCTGTTTATGGACTTGTTCTGTGAACTTGACCTGTCCATCAGCCCCGCAGTAACACTGGTATCTTACTCACTGGGTCACTCTTCTTTATAGGCCTCTTCCTAGTTGGTCTCAATATATTTATCTTTCTGGATAAATCTTTGCAGCTACTCTGTCCCTAGAGTTTGCAGAAGAGAAAAAAAATTGAGCTCCAGGGTGGAGACTTATTCAAGGGACCAGAGGCCAGAACTCGGGGCTCCCGCCTTCTCCTACCTGTGCTGCTGCTTCACCTCTCTGATCACTTCCCTTTGCCAGGGGCCAGCCAGCTGATGCACGGCGTTCACACCTGCTCTTGTCTTCTCTCTAGAGCTGCCCTCTCTGCCGTGAGGTAGCAGGCCACGGTGAAGTCTACCTTTGGGGCAGCTCAGAATCCGAGGACTCTTCTGATCCTGAGGTCCTACGTTCGCTTGACTTTGCAGACCATGAGAACCCACACTGAGAAAGATCAGGCAGAGAGCAAGGAGGCAGAGAGGAAGACCTGGTGTTCTATGTGTCCTTGCCACCTGCCCTCAGTTCCACTTCCCTCCAGAGTAGTGGCATTGCCAGGTGTCTCGGGGAACACGATACAAAAGGCTCAGCTGGGCTGAGCCAGATGGAGCCTGGGGTGTGAGGTCAGGCAGCAGTGCTCGGGAGATGCCATGTCCCACCCCTCCCCACAGGTACCTGGGCAAAGAGGGCTGGGCGCCAGCCTCTTACCTGAAGAAGGCCAAGGACGACCTGCCCGCACGCAAGAAAAACCTGGCAGGCCCAGTGGAGATCATCGGGAACATCATGGAGATCAGCAACCTGCTGAACAAGAAGGCGTCAGGGGATAAGGAGACTCCGCCGGCCGAAGGCGAGGGCCCTGAGGCCCCCATCACCAAGAAGGAGATCAGCCTGCCCATCCTCTGTAATGCTTCCAATGGCAGCGCCCTGGGCGTCCCCGAGAGGAGCGTCTCCAAGCTGGCGCAGGGCTCGCCAGCCGTGGCCAGGATTGCCCCGCAGAGGGCCCAGATCAGTAAGAGCCTCCCTGGCCCCCGTGGCCTCCCCACGCAGCTCTTTTAGAAAGTGGTCACAGGGTGCAGGGACCCCCATCCCATTTTCCTCCTGAGATCTGGACCGGCCCTGACCCTAGCCTCACACTGTGGGTTTGTTTCATGCTGAGCGTGAGCAGACAAAGCCATTCCTCGTGACCCTTGCACTGAAGGTCAGTTACAGGGGTACGTGAGCTGGTGGTGGCCCCTCCTTCCCTAGGAGAGAGCCAGGAGTGGTCACCTTACAGACCCAGGTATCCCCTAGGCTGGGAAATAGGCCCGCACCCTGCGCAAGGCTGCTTGACGGATGACAGCCAGTAGAACCTCTTTCCCGGCCTTAGCCCTCCTTCCCTCCTACCCTGTCACCTCCTGCCAGTTACTGGAAGCCTAAGAGACTTGGAAGGAATGGCTTCATCTGTCCCCGGGTGGTCCGAGAGGGCAATCTTCAGGACAACCCCCCGTCCTTAAGAAACCCAGCTGTCTGGCCCCCACCCAATCTCTGCCCCTCTCTGGCTCAACGGCATCTTCAGTTCAAGGTCAAACTGTCCTGCGTTATAAGAGACCAGCTTCTGTTTATGTCCAGCCATCCTCAAAATCTGGAGGAAGGCTGTTTTTCGGTTAAGTTCTGAACTTGGTTTTAAGGGAGCTCTTGTGCTTGAAACCTTTTGGACGGTCAGTCGGGAAGTGTTTCTGGGGCACGCACTCTTGCCTGGCACCGTGCCAGCTTCTAAGGACTTGGCAGTGAGCGAAAAACAGACACAGTCTCTGCTCCTGACTTTGAAAATCTGATGGAGTTACTTACCCTTTCCCCTGAAAAATGCTGCTGTGTCTCTACATTTTGAAACATGCACATCATTTTAGAGGGTTCGTGGATCCCCTGGGTGTCAGGGGAAACCCAGCCAAGGAAGCTTAAAGATCCATGGTTTCCTGGTGAAGAAACTGTAGTGCCTGAGAGCACAGGTTCTTCCAGCCTGTGGGACAGAACCAGGAACTTCCCAGGATCAGGAGGGGGCTGCACCTAGGGAAGGCAGGGTCCAGCACGGTTTGTTGCCCATCGTCTGGCTGGGCTTTCTGAAGCCATGTTTCTTGTTCTAGGCTCCCCGAACCTAAGGACAAGGCCTCCGCCTCGCAGAGAATCCAGCCTGGTGCGTGCACTGAATTTCTCCTGTTTTCTTGCCGCCTCCAGGGGTGCACTGTGTCGTCTCCAGTTCATTGACGGTCTCATTTCAGTGCCCATCAGTCCAGGGGTTTTCCAGAGCCCTACTGGGCTGCCAGCTTTGTGGGGCCAGGGGCAGAGAGGAAAGCCTGGGGATCTCAGCCATCCCAGGGCCCTCGCTGGACAGTTTATATTCAGAAACACGCTGCACTCCAAAGCTAAGTCAGTCCATCCCAGCCACTACACTGGCAGACATAAACATTTCGACTGGCCAGCGGGAGTGTCCGGCCAGGGCACTGCCAGGGGCTGGAAACGGGGCGGCTGTCCATGTGCTCCTGGAAGCCTTTCGGCTCCGCCTTCCTGGCCCAGGAGTAGCCAATGGCTGCGGTGGATGCCGGAGTCGGGGAGGAGGAAAGCAGCCCAGTGAGCACCCTCCGGTTGGGGTACATAGCCAGGACTCGCGTGTGCTGAAAGTGAGAGGCTCAATTTGCTGGGGTCCCTGGCTCCTGGAGGTGGGGGTCCCGGGGTCCAGACATAAGGGAAGCAGATAGATATACTTGGGGTCCTGGGCTTAGGTGGCGGTGATGCTGTGCTGGCCGGGAGCTCTAGTACAGAGAACTCTCCTCGGGGCAGTGGGGTACAGTGGAAAGAGGGGCTTCAAGCCTGCCAGGCGTGGATTCATAGTCCACTTCTGACACTTGGGAACAGCGAGACCCAAGGCAAGTCCATTACCTTCTGCGAAGCTTAATTTCCTCATCTCTGTGATGGGGACAGTGGCAGCCATCGCCTAGGGCTGCGGGAAGGAGGAAGTGGGGTGGTGTGTGAGGGTTTCTGTTTCCCGTGTCAGCAGTCAGAGGGACTGCCTGCCACACCATGTGGAGAAAGGTCTCGGAAGTCTTGCTGGGCTTAGTGGCAAGGGTCCCCGTGATCATGATCTCTGCCCTGGAGAGGGGAAAGCAGTGCTTTCTGGAAGAGTGGGTCATCAGTAAGTGGGTTTTGAGGATTAGTCCCATGGGGATGGGACCACCCCTGCCCTAGCCAGAAGCCCCAGGGAAGCTCCTATGTCATGGTCCCCTCGAGTTTTCCATGACTAAATGGTGCTTTCTCCTGTCCTCCCATCTCTCTCAGCTCCAGCAGATTATTTTCAGGCAGACTCGATTTTGGCAAGAATGGGGTCATTCCTTCCACACGGACCTGACGTGGGGCTTGCGGCCACGGGGCTGCTGTTCCCAGCCAGACGCGGCTGAACCCCCACCTGGCCGGGGGTCAGGGCTGGGCCGGGGCCTGAGCCACATCCATTCGTGCACATGCCTGCAGGGCCCGACACCAGGGCAGGGCAAGTGCCTGAACTGCACCTGGTCCCTCAGACCAGCTCTCTCCCGCCCTTCGCTCACTATGACCCAGGGCAGCTGGGCTGTGACTGGCAGGGTTTGGACAGTCCGAGCGGTAAGGGATGCAGAAGGTTCCAAACCATAGGATGGTATTGTAGAAGGAATGGTCAGCTCTGGCTTCTATTTGCGGAGCTCTTCCTGTGTCCTTGGCTGGACCAGAAGTTATGTATATAGCTCAGTCCTCCTCTTCATGACCCATTTCACAGACAAGGAAATTGAGACTCAGAGAGGTCACAGGCTTTACCCAAGGCCACACAACTGGTGTGTTGCCGAGCTGGGATGGGAGCCCACATGTGTCCAGCTGTAAGGCCAAGGTCTTCTGAGGTCTTCCTGTTACACCACAGCTGCTTCCCCCCCCCCACACACTTTTTGTTTGTTTTGCTTTAACCCCTTTGTATGATACTGGGACCTACCGAAAGTAATGGGGCGGTATGAAATCCATTTTGATGAGAACAGAGACCAGATGAAACTGGGGTGTCTGCTTCCTGGGGACAAGGGGGCAGTCCTCGTGGTTCACTGTTAAATGCTCAGTGCCCTGGACCAATGTCTGGCACCCAGAAGATGCACAAGTGTTTGTAAAGTAAATGAACAAGGCTCAGAAGTCATGGCCGCAGCCAAATTCTGAATGTCGTTGACCGTCATGCTTGGGATCAGTGTTACCAATCCAGCACATTCTAACCTACCCACAGAACAGAGGGTCAGTTTTAGTCAGTGCTTGCCTGGCCATTTGGCATCATCGCGATGACCCACTATGGGCTCTCCTCACCCGTCTCCATGCCCCCTTACACCCCTCCCCAAAGAGATGCCAGATGTCACCCTGCGGCCCTTCTCCTCGACCTAAGGATGTGGCTCTCCTCCCACAGGGCAGTTGGCACAGGCTTTGTTACAATGGCTTCTCTGATTTTTTAATTTTACTGTGGGGACCTGGCCATTGAAGCATCTATGAACTGGACCTCAGAGATGTCGGGGTAGAAATCACTGTTACTAACTGATCATTTCGAAGCTCTGAGGAGTTTCAAATGAATCATTGGTATTAGTGGAAAGCCTGCTCAGGAGAACAGTCTCCTGGGGGAGACGGCCTGAGCCTCAGGTGACAGATCCTTTCTCAGGCCTGAGTTCCTGTGCCTGGTTGGACACACCACATTCAGCCTCTACTGCCCTTCTGATCAGGTGGCTTTTGCTCACTGAGCCCTTCCCTGCCTTAGGGGTTCCAGCTGCCGAAGCCGCCTGAGCCCCCTTCTGTTGAGGTGGAGTATTACACCATTGCCGAATTCCAGTCGTGCATCTCTGATGGCATCAGCTTTCGGGGTGGACAGAAGGCGGAGGTGAGTCTGAGGGTTTTAAGTCATGCCGCTCAAAGACCTGCTGTGGTTCCCATTTATGCCTGGCTGGCAACATGGCGCAGGGGAGGGGGTGGGGGTGGGGGACAGGAAAGATATAAAAGCAAGACCATGGGGATAAAAACTGGCCTTAAGGGGCGCCTGGGTGGCTCAGTGGGTTAAGCCGCTGCCTTCGGCTCGGGTCATGATCTCAGGGTCCTGGGATCAAGCCCCGCGTCGGGCTCTCTGCTCGGCGGGGAGCCTGCTTCCTCCTCTCTCTCTGCCTGCCTCTCTGCCTGCTTGTGATCTCTCTCTGTCAAATAAATAAATAAAAAATCTTAAAAAAAAAAAAAAAAAAAAAAACTGGCCTTAAGCCATTCTGTGCCATGGTCAGGGCCAGACTCCAGGACTCCTGTCTCCACCTAGCGCTGCCCTCACAGCAGCATTTCCCAAAGCTGGTGGGTGGGCGCTGGTCATGGAGGCACCTGGACACGAGGGTCTTCTGTGGCTGAGTAGGTTTGAAGGACAGCGGGTTACACAAAATCTACCCAGTTGTATGGTTTTCATTGCAGAACTTGTCAGAGCCTATGCTATAGGGATGTCACTCTGCATCTCTAAGAGGAGGGGACTAGAATAGCAGCATTGCCCAAACCCACTGGGCCCCAGCACACTTTGTCTCCTGGAAGCACCTTGGGAGCCAAGATTCTGAAGAACTCCCATTAGCAAGTACCGCTGTTGGGAAGCTGTGGTCCACACAGCCGAAGTACTAAGGACCTGGGTTCTGGCCACATCCCCACCACAGGCGCTTCTGTCCTTTGATATGGTCACTTATCTCCCCAGGCTTTGATTACTTGTCTCTGCCAGTGTGGTAATAGACCCTGTGGTGCTCCCCTACCCCCCAGCCTGGCATTTAGGAGCTTCTGCTTTGTGGCCCTTGCAGGGGGCAGAGATCTGTGATGTGGGTCAGTTCTCTGGAGTGGCTCTGTGTAGTAATGTGGTTAAATCCAATTAAGACCCCCCTACTGCTGTCCCAAGAGCCTTCGGGTGGCCTCCGCCTGTGGGGATGGTGTCCCCGGTGTGAATGTTTTCAATCACGTGTCTTGAATTTGGAACTGAATTTGGAACATGCAAAAGTCATTCTGTCAGTGGTGCCTAGGTTTCCAGGAGAGCCTCCAAAGCTTACTTTACTTACTCCAAATCATACTTGAGATCTACCAAACTTAAATTTTAAGTATGGGGTGGGCAGGGCAAAGGAAGGACTATAGAACCAAAGGAAAGAGAAAAGTCTTTCCTCTCTGGTGGGGCTACAGGGGGCTGATCTCAAGTAGAGCTTGCCTTCAGCAGTCTCTCTCTCTCCTCCTTCCCTGCTCCTCTTGCCCTGGTGCCAGTTTTTCATGCTCCCCCACCGGCCCCCAAATACCTCTTTCTCCAGGAGTGTCCCACAACCCAAAATTACCTTCCCTTTATGTTCCCCAGTCCAAATACAGCACCACAATCAGCATCACACTCCTGGCCTTTAGCTGATCTCAAATTGTAGTTAAGAAAGAAGCTCCTTGAACTAGTTTATACTAATATGGAAATGACTAAAAGACCCTCATCCCTCCCACAGGAAATCATTTAACCCAAAGAAATCCTTCCAGCCAGTGGGATTTTATTGGGATCCCACATGCAGTGAAATGACCACAGGCAGTAGGGACAGCAGGGAGGAGCTGTGGAGGGTGGCTCTGGGCACAAGCCCTACTTCCCAGTTCAGCTCACCTGCATCTTCCCATTCTTCTGACCTGAGACACCTTTTCTATGCTCACCAACGGAGGACCTAGCAATACTGGGGGTAGGATGAGGAACAGTGGAAAACATTTTTTTGTACCCATGGAGCCTTGGCGAGTTGGATTCTGTAGGGACCAGAAGCAGTAGGTCCTCTAAGTACATAGTCTAGGGGGAGTAAAGGGGTCTCTGGATGAAAAAAAGAAAAGGGGTGGTGATGGAGACTTGGAGGACCAAGGGAGAGGGTCTGGGGCAGTGGAAGGAGGTGATAGGGACCTGGGTTTGAATTCCAGCCCAGCACGTATTACCCTGAGTCATTTACTCAGCAGCCCACTTGGCTCAGCTGTGAAATGGAGACCCTGCGTCCTAGCCTGGCACGCTGTAGGGCCCAGCGATCGTCCCAGCTCACTGGTCTGCTCTGCCCTCCCCCAGGTCATTGATAAGAACTCGGGCGGCTGGTGGTACGTGCAGATCGGTGAGAAGGAGGGCTGGGCCCCCGCGTCCTACATCGACAAGCGCAAGAAGCCCAACCTGAGCCGCCGGACCAGCACGCTGACCCGGCCCAAGGTACCCCCCCCTGCGCCCCCCAGCAAGCCCAAGGAGGCTGAGGAGGGCCCTGCGGGCTCTGCGGAGAGCCAAGACTCCCCACTGAAGCTCAAGTACGAGGAGCCTGAGTATGACATCCCCGCCTTCGGCTTCGACTCAGAGCCAGAGCTGAGCGAGGAGCCCACGGAGGACAGCGGCTCAGGAGACAGGCGGCCCAGCCAGGCCCACAGGCCCTCACCCGCCTCCTCGCTGCAGCGGGCCCGCTTTCGGGTGGGCGGCTCTTCAGAGGACGTGGCGCCAGAGGAGGAGACCATCTACGAGAACGAAGGCTTCCGGCCGTGTGCGGAGGACGCCCTGTCAGCCAGACGCTCCTCCCGGGACAGCCAGTCCCCAGGGGGCTCCCCTCTATCCCTGGCCAGGAAAAACTCCCCCAGATCGGGCTCCCCCAAGTCATCCTCCCTCCTGAAGCTCAAGGTGGAGAAGAACGCCCAGGCGGAACTAGGGAAGAACCACTCCTCGGCCTCCTTCTCCTCCTCCATCACCATCAACACCACCTGTTCCTCCTCCTCCTCTTCCTCCTCCTTGTCCAAGAACAGCGGGGACCTGAAGCCCCGTTCCGCCTCGGACGCAGGCATCCGTGGCACCCCCCCAGTCGGGCCAAAGCGGGATGCCGACCTGAAGGCGGGGCTGACCTCGTGTGCCCGGGCCAAGCCGTCAGTCCGGCCCAAGCCGTTCCTCAACCGAGCAGAGTCCCAGAGTCAGGAGAAGATGGACATCAGCACTTTACGGCGTCAGCTGAGACCCACGGGCCAGCTCCGCGGCGGTCTCAAGGGCTCAAAGAGCGAGGATTCAGAGCTGCCCCCCCAGACGGCCTTTGAAGGTCCCAGTGAGGGGTCCCGAAGAGGCTCTGCTGACCTCATTACACCCCCAGCCGCCACACCCCCGTGTCCCACCAAGAAGGGACCGGAAGGGCAGGCCACCTCCTACACAACGTGTAGCGCCTACCAGAAAGTCCAGGACTCGGAGATCAGCTTCCCCGCAGGCGTGGAGGTCCAGGTGCTTGAGAAGCTGGAAAGCGGCTGGTGGTACATGAGGTTTGGGGAGCTGGAGGGCTGGGCCCCTTCCCACTATCTGGTGCTCGGCGAGAACGAGCAACCCGACCCTGCTGGCAAAGAGCCAGACACAGTAAGCCCCAAAAACAAGCAGCACGAGGGCAAGTCCGACAGCCTGGAGAAGATCGAGAAGCGGGTCCAAGCGTTGAACACCGTCAACCAGAACAAGAGGGCCACGCCGCCCATCCCCTCCAAGCCCCCTGGGGGGTTCAGCAAGACCTCGGCTGCCAGCGCGGTGAAGCTGAGGAACGGTGTGCGGCAGGTGGCTGTGAGGCCTCAGTCGGTGTTCGTGTCCCCGCCCCCCAAGGACAACAACCTGTCCTGTGCCCTGCGGAGGAATGAGTCGCTCACGGCCACCGACGGGCTCCGAGGCGTCCGCCGGAACTCCTCCTTCAGCACCGCCCGCTCGGCCGCCGCAGAGGCCAAGGCCCGCCTGCCTGAACGGGCTGCCAGCCAGGGCTCGGACACGCCCCTGCTGCCCGGCCAGCGCAACGGCATCCCCGTGTCCCCTGTGCGCCCCAAGCCCATCGAGAAGTCCCAGTTCATCCACAACAACCTCAAAGACATATATGTCTCCATCGCGGACTATGAGGGGGATGAGGAGACGGCGGGCTTCCAGGAGGGTGTGTCCATGGAGGTCCTGGAGAGGAACCCCAACGGCTGGTGGTACTGCCAGATCCTGGATGGGGCAAAACCCTTCAAAGGCTGGGTGCCCTCCAACTACCTGGAGAAAAAGAACTAATGGTGGGGGGTGGGCAGGGGTCCATCCAGCCTGGGTGTGGATGAGTGGCGGGATGAAGACAAAGGGGAAAGGGAAAGTGGGAGGGGGTGGGGGGAAGACGTTAAACCCTGCAGAATGCATGAGCTCTGCCGTGCTCCCTTCTGGGCTGTCCCCCCGCCACCCCCGGCTGGCAGGCAAGGTCTGGCGGGGACCCGCACGGAGCAGGGAAGCCAGCGGGCACGGGTGCACCAGGCCTGGGACCAGAGGCGAGAAAGCTGAACCCCGTGTGGGCACCTCAGTGACTTGGCCAACGGACCCAGCGGCATTTGGGACAGGCCAGGTGGGAAACTCCAATTGTGCCTTGGCTGCGGATCTGGAGTGGGCCTCTGGGACCTGCCCCTGCCCCCCACCCCCAGCCTGGTTTCTGTGGCTAGCACCTCGCCGCCGGAGGTCGTCCTCGGATCGTCCTAAACCTGAATTAGTGAATTATGCTGGTTTCCCCAGGACTGCCACCACCCACTGCGGGTGGCACTGGGGCTTAAAGGTGTCTTCTGGCAGCTCAGCCTGTCCCTGGGCCACGCCACCTGTCAGTGTATGTCGGTTCCGCAGGTGCCAGCAAGGACCACCTTGCTTACCCATCACTGTTCCTGGCTTTGAGAAGAGGGTGCACCCTGCCTGAGGCACCCCGTCCGTGTTGGACCAGCAGCCCCAGAGTTGCCAGAGAGGGTGGGCAAAGCCGTCAGTCTCTACACCGTCTGCACAGACTTTATTTTGGGTGTTTCTGGGTGGGCAGTTCTTTTGCATGTTTTGGGAAAGGTTTATTGATTTGGGGCTTCTATGTCAGCCCTTGGGTTTTGGTCTTATTTTAGGGGTTGTTCGGGGGCCCAAGGGCGGTCAGCCTTATGGGGGACAGGACGAGGAGCAGATGTGGCTTTTCTGTTGTGCTCTTGCCGGGAGGTTGTTGGTTTTGTTTGCGTTTCACTTTCTCTCCCTCCACAAGCCAAAGTCCTTTCATTCGGTTTCCACTGTTGCGGACAGAACCCGAGCATGGCGCTTGCCGGAGGGCGTGGGCGCGGAAGGCCCAACTCCCTGACGTGGCAGACGTGCCCCAGTGGGGGCAGATCCCCCCCCCAGGAGAGGGGAGGGGGCACATGCAGGAGAGAAGGCAGCTCTCAAGCTGCTGGATGACCATCCTTCTGCGTCCATTCTCCCGCCTGGGCAGGACCAAAACCCTTCCGTGTGAACTGTGGAGCAGTACCCAGCACCCCCACTGAGGGCTGAGGGGGCCCCCAACTGGGTGGCCACCGCCAGCCACCCCCCCACACACACACACACAATGCCACAGGTACCCGAAAAGATGGAGGACCCCCAGGCTGGGCGCCGACCCAGTCTCCCCAAGGGGCAGTGCCCCCCGTGAAAAGAGGAGAGAATAAAGTCCCTATCAACTGTGGGTTGTGTCTTTCAGTCGTTGACGTTTTGGAGGGGACCCTCTGGAAGCCTCGGCTTCCCTCAAGGACTCCCCCTTTGCTGGGAGTGGAATTCCACACGTGCCTTTGATTGTGGACTGATCAGGCTTCACGGCCACCGGCTCAGCTGCCAGAGGCCCGGACGAAGGGTTGGTGTTTTCTACAAAGGAGGAAAGGCCCTCCCTCTCCCCCTGCTCCCCACCCAGGCCGTGTATGTTGCCTGGAGGTCAGCATGGGACCCCGTGTTCCGTGCCTTCAGTACCCTACCCAGCCCCCCGCCCCCGGAGGCCTCGCCTGGGGACCTCCCCAGCCCTCCTCCCTTGCTGTACACTGATGCCTGGCAGCTACAGCAAACCGTGCCTGTTCTTTGTTGAAGGGCCGTGGTGAGATTTGGTTTCCTTTTGCTTTGTGAGTTTGTTTAAAATTGAAATTAGTTCTTTTCTTCTGCTGGACAGTATTAAATAGAGCAGGATACTGAATTAATCTGCTAGGTTGCAGTACTAATGGTAGTGGTGTAGTGTCTTCCTATTAATATTATTTGGACTTATTTGAACAATAATGATAAAGAAGTGGTTCATTATTTGTTAATTAATGCACTTTACTGAGGTGGAACGGGAAGAAACCCAGAGAGCAAAGTGCATTCCTTAAAGATGCAGTATATACTTTTCTCATTTTTAAGCAGCACATATTTATTAAAAGAAGAAGAAGTAATTTATGATTATTTAAAATAAAATTTAAAAGTAGAGTGACTATTGGGTGATAGGACCTTCCGCGTAGCCGTCTTCCAGGGGGAGGGCCCCCGCGGCCTGGCTCCTCCACTGAGCCAGTTCAGCCAGTAACGTGCCCGCCAGGCCAGGGGGAGGAGCAGGACGCATCTGCCAAGCACAGAGCATCTCAGTTGGGACTGGACCACAGTGTTCCCCAGAGCCTGCCTTTCCCTGCCCTTCCTCACTGCGCTGCCCCGTGGGGCTCTCCAGCACCCATGAGGCCCACATTCTCTGAGCTCCCCTCTCTCCTTGATCCCCAGTACTCTAAGCAATGGTCCTTAAAAGTGACCTTGACAGTCACTCCATCCCATCCCCTCCTGCTACTGCAGCCCAAGAACAGGAAATTACTTTCCCGAAATCATGGAGCTAGTTAAGGCAGAGCACCCCACCGCATCCATCCTCGCACTCCTTCCCAGGCCCGTTGTAGTTTATTGTGTGGTCAGCATGTTTACATGGTGACATCCAGCCCCCCAAGGATGGCTGGGAGTTGCTTGGTCATCTAGGAGAAGTGGGGGATGCTGCCACCTGGTGACAGCGTGTAGATTTTGGGCGGTGGAAAGGGATTGCCATGCCCCATCTTCACACCTCACTCCCCCCCACCCCAATCATCCCCTGGCTCACAACACAGCACAAATCCTGCAAACCCAAAGAGAATATGAATACTTGAAGCAAGAAGGGTGCATGCCAGTCCCTCTCGAACACAGCCAGTGGGCGCCAGGCCTCGTGCCCCTGGACTCCCAGCCCCACCCAGGGCAAGAGGGCCTTTCCCTGGAGCTACTAAGCTGCTTTGTGATGTTGGAGGGTCCCACCAGCAGCAGGTGGAGGAGGGAGGGGCCTGCGGCTCTGACCCATCTGGAGGAGAACCAGATCAGACTAAAAAAGGAAAAAGAAAAATGAGATCTCAGCAGTGTCCAAACCCAGTTTCCCATTAGTTGTGATTGAAAATGTGAGACGGCATTGTATTGCTGTATACTGCAACTTTAATCATAATGAGCCCTTCTGAGGTCATTACTGAGCTTTATATAATGCCTGAAGATGCAGCGTTTGGTGCTTTTTCTTTCAGTTTAAAGACCCTTTTCTTTCATTGTAAGGGGGGAAAAATGTCTTTATCTCTCTCCCACTTTGAAGCAGCGGGCCTGGCCAGGGTCCCTGGCCCTGCCACAGCTGTTCCCACTGGGCCAGGGGTCCCCGGGGGCGGCAGGAGGGACTGGAAGGGGCAGCCCCGGAGGCGAGCGTGCTGTCTGCCCCTGGCTGTGGCTCAGGCCTCCACCCCGGCCTGGCCCCAGAGGCTTCTCTTTCTTACTCTCGATTCTCCGTCTTGACGAAGGCATTATATAGAATCGTTTTAATCACTTTCAGATGTTAGAGCAGCATATTTTACTGGTATTTATATCCATCGCTTTCCTCAGCAAGGCATGTTACTACTTTTATCGTCTAAGGAAGAAAGACAAGGGAATTTCGGTCGAGTGTTATTTTCATATTACTAGTATTTGCAGAGTAGGCGTAGAACTATTTAAGTTTAGACCTTGGTTTGGTAGTTTAAGGAAAAAAAGAAAAAGATAAAGTAGCCCCTACTTTTCCTATTTTTTTTTTTTTGTATTTAACTAATATATTACTTCTTTAAGGTTACTCACCTCCCCTACCCCTCCGAATACTTTGCATTCTCAACCAAAAATGAAAACAATCTGGGAGGCAGGAAAAGTGCAATATTACCGGGGACTGCCAGGGCTTGTTGGGACGGTGGTGGGAGCTCAGTGGCCCAGTGTGTCCGTAGAAGGACGTGGGGCTGTGGAGCAGACAGGTGACCTTCTGGGTGTTGATCTCTTACCCCTCCTCTATGCCCCCCGCAAGTTGGCAGAGGGCAGCCCCTTTTTCTGTTGGGTGTTCTCCACCTAGGAGGGATTCAGGGATGTGGCTCGGGGCTCTTGATCTCCCGGGGCTCTGGCCCTTGGAGCAGAGCAAAGGACTCCAGGAACAGTTCCTTGTTTTCATTTCCATTGCTTTTCAGCCAGCTGCCCAGAAAGACCTGTCATAAAAATCACTCCCAGCAGCCCTGTCTCACCCCAGTCTTCTGATGTGTGGGCCATGATACTTTTGATGTATGTTTGAGTCTTTTTAAAACTATGTAACCTCAGTTTGGTTTATGGGCAGGAACCCTAGATGTAACCAAATCCTTTTTCGGGGATGTGGGTGCCTTGAGCCCTACAGACCCCAGTGAGACACCGATTCCCACAAGCCTGCGGCTAGGCCTGGTGCTAAGCTTGGGCCACCCATTCATCTCAATGACTTCAGCCTGAGGGGGGAGCCCTGCCTCTTGCTTAACACCCTGACAGTTCCCAGAGGGCCTTAGGGAAGCGTCTGAGGGGCCTACTCAGGTCTTTGTGGACAGCTTACCCCAACAGCCACCAAGCCGCCCTCCTCCTCACTTGGCGCAGGTCGAGAAAGCAGCAGGATGGGAAGTCTCTGGGTCCAAGCCCTTGGAGCTCTGCCCTTCTGGGCTCCAGGGACGTCCTTGCTGGCTTGTGCCCTCCATCTCCAGTACTGTACGCTTGCTGCTCCAACCCCTCGGTTTGGTGAATTTCTGTACAAACGTGGATCTGTGTGCCCAGAGGGGGGCCGTGCCCCCGTGTGTGGGTGTCTCTTCTTGGAGTATATACATCTATATGTCCCAACTTTGAGAATCTCGATGCAGAGCTCTCTAGAAAGAGAATCATCCACATGGCTAAAGAATTAAGATTCCCTCATTTTTTTGAGGGCTGTGTGTTGAGAGAGAGAGAGTGTGTGTGTGTGTGTGTGTGTATGTGTGTTGATAATTTCCCACTTGAACTAAATAACACGGGGTTAGAGCACAAATACCGGGCAAGCTGTCTCCATTTTCTAAGTCCTTGGCATTGGGCAGGCCCCATGGGACTCGCAGTTTCTGGCAGCAAGTTATTATTCACACATAATTTTGGCTGGAGAGTGCAATGTGTCTTTTTTTTTTTTTTTTTTTTGTAATTATTTTATTATTTCGTTGGAAACTTCACACTGGCATTAACAGATCTAGCAGAAGCAGCCTAGGCCATCATCCCGGGCTCCAAAATGAAGCTGTGGAAGAGAGAAGTCACTGGGTGTGGATGCGCTGAGATGGTTGAAGCGGGCCGCCACCTCCAGACGTGCTATCCGGCAGGCTGAGCCCGTCCGCTGCCGCCATGCTTGTCATCGCTGCGGGAGGCCCTCGGTTCCTGTTTCTGAGGGTGGTCAGGCTGCTGGGGGCGAGAACGTGCTCAAGGTGAGGTCAGTACACCAGACTGCACGGCCCAGCTGAGCATGTCACGGGAGCAGTGTGGGGTGCTTTCCCTTGACCCAACGGAGCTTTTGGCCTAAATCATGATCCCTATTTGAGGCAGCCTCAGTGGTTCTCAAGTTCTACAACCAGAGACAGTGACAGGATGGGGTTACTGACCTACAGCCTTGTTTCAGGAAAAGCAGCCTCATTGATTTTCGCTTTCCTCTTGTTTTGTCCTGCGCACCTAGATCCACAGCCAGAAGCTGGGCTCACTGGTGCTCGCAGACCAAGTAGAGGGCTCTACACTCTAGGCCTTGATCCAAACCTGCCTGTAAGGTTGGTGTTACCACGCGATCTCCTTTCCCCATCCTATCTTTTTAATCTTGGGTTTGCACTTGACCTTGACAATCAGCCCCCTCTCCCATCCTAGTCCTAGAACTTAGTGGCCTTAGAGAGTGGGTTTCTGAAGTGAAGGTCCCTCCTTTGTTCCCAGCTCCACCCTGGCTAAGGGCTGGACCTCAGGAGGCGAGAGGAATGGGGAGAGAGCGTGTAAGAGAATTGTTTGAGGGCAGAAGAAAGGCTCGAGCACGTTGGAGACAAGCGAGAGGCACGTTGGAGTGAGGAGCGTGTGCGTGTTTGGAGTGGCTGGGGCTTACCGTCCCTTCTCTGGGAAGGTGGCTTCCAGAAGAGGATGTCTTCTAGGCAGAAAGGGAAAAGTGTGAGAAGGCTGAGAGAGGGTTTGGAGTCTGGAGTTTGGTCTTTATTCAAAAGAAGGAAGTAGTCAGTTCTGAGTGTTTCAGGAGAAAGACAACAGGTACAGAGGGAATTTACTGATTCAGCCCCCAAGGGTCCAGTCAGAGCAGGTTGAAAAAGCCCTAAGATTTGGCCACAGAAACAGACAACCTGAGGAGATAGCTACTTGCTGGGCTACAACCTGGGTCACCAGTATGCTGGTAATGAATAGTGTCTCATTTACTTAGTGGAGATGGGAACTTGCTAGCAACAAACCAGTCTTTGAGTCTGGTGGCTCTGGCTCCAGAACATTCCTCCGTCTCCCAGGTTACCAGCAGGTTTTGCCCACATCCCTTTGTCCAATCCAGAGCTAGCCTCTTAAATTGCTTGAACTGGTTAGAGTTCAAGAGTACTGGACAACACATTGACCGTAGTGGGTTGTCTGGTAATGGCCCACGACCCCCAAGCATGTCTGGGAGGGAAGTTGCCTCATTTTTTCTTCTGTTGACACCAGTCATTCTGGAGTATCTCTCCTGATACCTGCGGTGACTTGGTCTGCTGAGCCGGCTGCGCAGGTGTGACTCAGAAGACGGGGCCACACACACTCCTGCATGGACAGGTCCTTTCAGTTTCCATGGCCTGTCACCAGGCCACCTTTCTGGAAGCACCTACTTAGGAGAGAGAAGGGTAAACAGAGCCACCATTCTTGGATCTGCAACTTGTTCTCTGCAACAGGTTTTCTTGAAACCCGGGATACAGTCTGGGAAAAGGGTTTCACTGACTGTTCCTGAGAGGTCTGCGGGAAGGTGACTTCTGAGGGAAGATGTGAGTAGCAGGTCCCTGGAGTGTGGTTTGGGGAGCGCGTGGTTGCCTGTGAACTGTTGGGTGTCTCTGGGGCCCCAGAGCTTTGGGGAGTCCTTCACAGGGCCCACTGAGCCCCTTGCAGCTCCTGGCAGGCTCTGTGGGGTCCAGAGGAGGCTGTGCCCTCTTCTACCCGTAGCAGAGAAACTGAAGGTAAGGACAGTGAATTCAGCGCAGTCTATTTGAGTGCTAAAACATTTCCAGGATCAATGGTGGTGCTAAACTATCTCCATGTTTCTAATATTTTTAAGTGTTTTTTTTTTTTTTTTAATTTGTTCTCATCACAAGAATGCAGTGTCCTTGGGGAAGGGACGCAACCCCTTGGCCTGCCACTTTCCAGGTGTCCTTTATCCTGTTGACGGGACTCTTTGGTCTGCAGAAAATATTCTGTCTTGGCATGCTTCTAGACTGTAAGATTTGGGTTGTTTTGTTTTGTATTTTGTTTATGTTTACATCTTGTATTTCCCTGAAAACTAAATAAAGTTTTTGGCCTTTTTAACTGAACAGAATCACCTCTTAATTCTCCCTGCCATCAGAAAAGCCATCCGGCTCATGGCAAAAACCACCTTTTGCATCCAGAACGCAGCGTGAACTGCACGGTCCTGGGCCCCTCTGAGGACACTGGAGGGGCGGGGGGAGGCAGGTGAGTTGCCATTTTTGTTGGTGAGAGCCATGCTCAAGTTTCCCTTCCCTGCCTATAGGAAGCTTCCGGGCAGTGGCCAAGGCTTTGAGAGAGAGGGATGCAGACCTTGGGGCAAAAGACCCACATCCAGCAGGCCTGGCTGGCCCCTCAGCTTGGAGCCCCGGGTGCTCCCCTGCTTTTGCTGGACACCAATAAACAGGGCTGGGCTGTCCTGCTGTAGGGACCAGAGCATCATCCCAGGAGAGACGACAGGAAGGCAGGCATGCTCTGCACTGGAGTCCCAGCCCCAACAGATGAGCAAGATTCCCACACTGTGCCTAGTTCCGCTCCACCACTCCCAGCTTCTACAGCCAACCAGGTATACTCAGTACATCAAGAAAGTTTCACTAAAGGTCCAGGGCCAGAGGCCTCCCTTTTTTAGGCCGCTGTCACCCCGTGTAAGTATTGGCCCCTCCTGACCTGCGTGATGGATTTGTCATCCTCCCATTAGCCCCTAGGTGGCAGTGCCTCCCCATGAGGGTGTAGGGCCAGATTTGGCCCACCTCAGCCTTAACAGAGAGCTGAGGAGGCTTCAGGGACTCTGTTCCTGCTCCTCACGGATCCAGGGATCTGAGGGCACCAAAGGGCAGTGGCCTCTCTCTTTCAACTTACAAGGCTTACCTGGCATTCTGGCCCCTGCTGTTCAAGCCCCAGGTCATCCTCCTGTCCCCCACTCCAGGGAGTCTTCCCTGATTGTTGACACCTGACCCTTCCCCTTCCTCCCCAACCCCATCCTGTTCCTCCTCCCCAGCCCTCCACACAGCACAGCACAGCACAGCCCTCAGGCTGGTACGAAATCACCTTTATTCACAATCACAGCGACCCAAGTTCACAAAGGAGGCAGCAACTATCCCAGCACTAACAGAGATAGTGACACGGATGGCTTCCTCTCCCCAAACCACAGGCCACACAGCCCCTGCATGTAAGACCTTCCCTTGCCTCTGAGAGGAGACTCCTGGTGGGACACGGCCACCACCTGGCCCACCCCACCCTCAACTCCCATGGAGGGGGTCTCCAGGGTCAGTGACTGGGAAGTGGAGACCCACAGTGGAACCATGACTTCCTGGAGGCCCACTGCAAGGCAGGGGCAGTCAAAGGCCCAGGCTGGCGTTCTGACCCCCCAGTGCTATCCCACCCAACACCCCACAGCAGCCCCTCACCAAAAAAGTCCCAAGAGTCCGACAGAAAGTCTGCTCTCCTCCCCAGTCATTTTACAGAGGTGCCTGCTGAGGCTGAGGACTCTGACTCAGCCAGGACCACCCCGCTGCCCAGTGGCCAGGTCTAGAATCCGAATCCCACACTCTGCCAGCCACAGAAGCAGCGGTCTCTGATGGGCATGAAAAGCCATCAGAGGGGGCAGAAGGTTGGGAGGCTGGGGGAAAACTAGGCCAAGAGTGTGGGAGCAGGCGCCAGCCCACGGTCTATTGGGTAGAGCTGGAGAAGTGGGACAACTAGTCTAAGAGCAGGGGTTGGGGGGGGCATGCCACCCCAGAACCAGAAATAACCCAGAGGGGCCGGGACCTGGCCCCTTCCCTCCTCATCTTTCCTGAGGGTAAAGAGCCTTACTAAAAACAGACTCCCCAACCCCTACTGCGAGTAGGCCCTCCCAGCCCCATTCCCTGACCCAAGCTCGGCTCCCCTCCTTCAGCCTTGCCAGAACTGCGTACCTCCTTGTGGAAGGGGGAGCTCCTGGGCCTCCTGACGTAGCTGAGCCAACTCTGATGACCCCGCTGCAGCCCAGAGAGGAAGGGCACTTTGAGACTCTGGGAGATCCACCAGCCTTAGGACACTAAGGAAGCTCAGTTTATCTCTGTAAAATAGACACACTTGGACAGGAGTCCTCCCAATTCAGCCTGTTTTTATGGAGTTCTAATTCTTGGCAAGCAGAGATGGCTATGGACTTGGGGCTGGAGCCTAGAGAAGATTCTGAGAGCTACCTCTGCAGCCCTTTCTCTCCAGGCACTCTGCACACCAGGGCAGCATTTCTAGGGGCCCCAGGGGATTGGCAACTCAATCATACCCCCCCAAAAAACCCACAAACCAAATAAATAAATAAATAAAAATAAGAAAAAAGGCTGCTGTTACCCCCAGGGTACCCCACCCCCACTCCAGGGTCCTGGCCTCACCTGGGGATACTACAGTCTGAGTAGCAGCCAGGCCCAGGACAGCACTGAGATCTGGGAGGACAGGTCTCAGAGGGCAAAAGCAAATCTACTCTTAGAGAACCTTCCAGAAGACGGACGCTGCTCTCCAGCCTACAGCGAAGCTGTCCCTGGGTGGCAGCATCTGACGAGATGACTGGGGCAGAAAGGCTATGTCCAGGAAGGGCCCTTCTGCATCTCAGCCAGGGCACAAGGTCAGAGACCCAGGCCTGTCCATCCACCCACCCTCGGTGAGTGGGAGAGGGGCATAGCACGGGGGCTGCAGCCTGCCCAGGGTGAGAGGTATCTGCCGACCGTACCCTGGCCGTCAGGCCTGAGGGGCAAGGGAGAGAGGAAGAAGGTGGGTACAGGTCAGAGAGTAAGGCAGCAGCTCGGGCACCTGCCTGGGGCTGCTGTCAGGCAGGCTGTGCACTGCTCGAGGACAGCTGGCTGAGAACAAATGGAGACTGACGTCCAGGCCATACTCCGAAGGCCCTCGCTCAGGGACACATCTGCCCAGAGGAAGGGACATGTTTTCTAATTCTTACATGGACTAGAGGACTTCCTAGAAATCTGCCCCAGATGGGGAAGGATTAGGAGAGGCTGAGACCCCCGTTTAGCCCCTCGGCATGCAGGGTAGAGTGGGTGCAGAGAAAGGAAAGACAGGAAGAGAGCAGACTCCTCCCCTCCCCTCTGCTGGGCAATTTGTTTCTGCCCCTCACCTCCCTGCCTGATACCCCCTTTCTCCCCAAAACTTTGAGGGCCTCAGTTTCCCATGTTTAATGAAGAAGGGAAGAGTTTCCAAAATGCGGAAGAAGAGAAGGGGCCCTGTGGGCTTGCCTCTTGGCTGGAGTGGGGCCAAAGCCTGCGGAGGCAGGCGTGCAGGCTGGGGCACCACATGGGGCTAGGAGCTGCGGTAGGTCTTGATAATGTCCTTGATGGGGCGGCGGCAGATGGGGCAGCAGGCGTGCAGGGCCTTTTTGAGGCGCAGGCCACAGGCATAGCAGAGGCACATGTGGCCACACGTGTAGATGACCGTGTCCACGGCGTGCTCATAGCAAATGGTGCACTCATCACTCCACTGTCCTGTGCCTGGGGTCACTGGCGATTCGGGCAGGCTCACTGGAGAGTTGGGGGCCGTCCCTGGGGACAAGGGGACACCAGTCAGCAGGTACATGGTCCAGTCTGGCCCCAGGTTCATGGGAAGAGAGCCCCCGGTCTCTTGTCTCTCCATCGATTAGCATCTGCCTGTTTCCCCTGACAACCCACTTCCTGGGCGCTGGGAGGCCCCTGATGAGGGGCCAGGATGCCCATGAGGCAGTGAGAGGAGAAGAGGGGTGGAGGGAGGGAGGGGGCCCAGAGTCTTTTAAGGAAGGCCCCCGCTGAGCTATCCTTTATTCTTCCCAGCGTGCTAGAAAGTGCTCTGGAGAAAGGTGCCCAGCTGAGGGACAGGGTGGGATTCACCCAAGAAATCACCACCCGGGCACCTGGGTGGCTCACTTGGTTAAGTGACTGCCTTCAGGTCAGGTCATGATCCCGGAGTTCCAGGATCAAGTCCCACATCGGGCTCCCAGCTCCATGGGGGGTCTGCTTCTCCCTCTGATCTTCTCCCCTCTCATGCTCTCTCACTCTCTCAAATAAATAAATAAAATCTTTAAAAAAAAAAAAAAAAAAAAGAAATCACCACCCAACAAGGGTTCGCCAAGCATATCTCCAGCTCATCCAGTACTCAACTCTGACACAGGGGCCACACTCCCGCCTCAGCCAGGGGGTCTCAGGGTGTGGGGGTCTGCCAGGGGTACCGTGGAACTGCAGTGGCCAGCCTACTTACCGCCCACAGAGCTCCCTGGCGGTCCAGAGCTGCACGTGCTGAGCAAGGGGTCGGAGAGGCGGCTGCCCAGGGCGCTGGGCGAGGTTGGTGTGGAGGCAGGGGAGCAGGAGAGTGATGGGATGCCCCGCTCTGCCAAGATCGTGGAGCCTGCAGAGGGGGAGGGAGGGACGCATGAGCCACTGAGGGGCCCACTGGGAGAAAGCGTGACTCTCTGCCCCTCCTAGAGGGTCCCAGGAGAGAAAGTGCTGACACAGCACCACCACACAGCCCAGCCACTGGGCGGGCTCAGGGCAGGATTTCAGAAAGAGGCCCACTGCCCAGCCCCAGCTCTCAGTTCCCACCCACAAACTGGAAGGCCACTTCATGCTCTGGTGTTACTGCATCAGCAGTCTCCAAACGAGCCCCCTGCTTTCACCTTTGAGGTTTCCCATGCCAGTGAAGAAAGACCCCCTCTTCCCGCCTGGCATGGCCCTTCCAGTCCTAGCCTGACCCTCTGGGTCCAAGCCCTGTGCTCCCTCCGTCACTTCCCCCCGGGTATCACCCACCATCTCAACTACAATGGCACCTTTCGGATGCCCTTCAGCATCTCCCAAGCTCATTCTGTGCCACATTCTCTCCTTCCTTCCTTCCCTCCCTCTTCCTCTCCTCACCTCCCTCTTTTCTTCCTACCCCTCACCCCTGCCGCTCCTCCCTTCGACAAGGTACCAGGTACCTACCAGGTACCATCCACTGTGTAAACATAACACTGAGAACAAGACCGATAGAGCCCTTGCCCCAAAAGAGCTAACTGTCCAGGGAGCCCATTGGGACTGTCCTCAAACCCCCTCCTCTGGGCAACTTTGACTACCCCCAAAAACCACATTATTTAGCACTGACCAGGCACACACACCACATACATGGGACTAAACTATCACAAAGTTGGGGTATTATTTGTTCTTTGCCCAGGTATGCAGCTTTGTTTCCCCAGGTGATGAGCTTCCTGAGAGCAGGAAATCGTATTCACCTGTGACTCTCCAAGGATCTAACATACAGCCCTACACATAAATGCTCCCTGAGATCCTTTTATCATCATGTGTTCTAAGTCAATGGTCACTGTTTCCAAGGATACGCATTAGATAGCCACATGGGTTTTCTCTGGTGTTAATAGTTTTCAAGTTAACTATCCTCTTCTTTCAGAAATTCACACCTCCTAGTTTTCTTGCCTTATTGCACTGGCTAGCATTTTCAGAACAACACTGTAAGGCATCCCCCTATCATATTCCTGACTTTAATGAGAATGTTTCTCATATTTTGTCATTAAGTATGAAACTTAGTGATCATTTTGGAGTAAAGGAAAGATCCTTCCATTCTTAGTTCATTTAGGCCTTTCACGAAGCACAGCACTCCTCTGTAAATAATTACCCTTCACACACTATTCACTGGTTTTTCCTTTGCAATCCACAGGATCCCCAAACACCAATCTGCTGACTCAGATGCCCAATTCTCTTACAGCCCAGGTGCACTCTGTTTGGCATACACTGTTTAGCATTTATCTGGATGATTACTCTTAAACACCCACCTTGGCCCAATTACCTCTCAGGACATTTAAGTCCTGATTTTTTTTTAAGCTCCTCCTGTGTCTAGTAAGCCTCTCTGGGAAACAGGAATCTCAGTGGAAAGCTACTTATCTAAGATGGTGCTGAGGCAGGATAGTACCCTCCCCTTATACAATTCCCTTCATCTGAGGAGCAGTGTCTCCCAGTGAGTGTAGCCAAGTAGTTTTATTTTGTTTACCTCAGCCTGATTTTTTCTGCACCCCAGTCTGATTTCTTTTTATCCCATTCTAAATTTTTACCCCAACTTCTTTCCTTCCTGATTTCTTTCCATTCCTTCCTGATTTATCTTCCCTCAATAATAACTTAGCATCTTGCCTCATTTAATTCCTTTTCGGATTTTTTTGTTCACTCCGTCTTCATTTGGTCTTTTTCCAGAGTAGGAAGTCCCCACTTATTTTATCTGATTTCGCAAACTCCAACATAGAATCACCAACGACAGCATTACACACATAAATACACATGCATTTACTCACGTGTGCCTATACACAGACATACCAATCTTAGAGCATAACACACATTCACTTGCATACACACATTTACCCTGTCTACAAAGCCTCCTGGGGTGAGGTCTAGGATGGGGCTATGAAGCCCAGAGGTCTCCAAACTTGCCTAAGCAAACCTATTTAAAGAATTCAGAGGGGTGCCTGGGTAGTTCAGTCAGTTAAGCCTTCGACTCTTGATTTCAGCTCAGGTCATAATCTCAGTGTCGTGAGATCATGAGATCAAGCCCTGCATCAGGAGCCTACTTGGGATTCTCTCTCTCTCTTTCTCCCTCTCTGCTTTCTCGCTCTCTAAAAATTAAAATCTAAAATAAATAAATAAATAAAATAAAATAAAATAAAATTAAGATGCCCAGGACTTAGCCAACATCTACAGAATCAAAATCTCTGCAGGTGGGATTCAGAAATCTGTACCAGGTCCTCCTAATGAATTTAATGGAACTAGCCCAATCTACCACAGCTGGTTCGGAGGCCAGCTCTTGCAAAGCATGAATACCTGTACATTCTGGGGAAACAGAGGTCCCTGGAGATGCTTTATAGGAAAAAAAAGATTTCTGGTTAAATTAGTTTAGAAAAAGCTGTACATTGGGGCACCTGGGTGGCTCAGCTGTTGGGCATCTGCCTTCAGCGCGGGTCATGATACCGGGGGTCCTGGGACAGAGCCCTGCGTTGGGCTCCCTGCTCAGTGGGGAGCCTGCTTCTCCCTCACCCACTCCCCCTGCCTGTGTTCCCTCTCTCACAGTCTCTCTCACTCTCAAATACATAAAATCTTAAAAGAAAAAAAAAGCTGTACTTGATAACCACCACTGCCCGCCTAATTAAAGATTCACACTGCATACTAAAGGCTCTGAGAAGTTCTGCAGTAAAGAATCCCCAACTTTTTCCTCACAGAACTCTACGAGAAACAACTTTCACAAGTCCACATCCACCAGTCCATTCAAACTCTGTTCATTCAAACCCAGGAAATAATGGCCCAGACCTCTGCAACCCCATTTCCTCCAAGGCCCTCTGCTCGGATTCCCCACAGGCTCCCAACCCAGGCACCACAACGCACAAACACTTGGCTTCGGACATACCTAACTCTTTCCTATCTAGACATGCTGCCGCCCTTATGAGGCAGAGGCTTTAATTCCCATTTTGGAGAAATGGAAACTGAGCCTCAGAACGTTAATTGCTGGTGGAAACCTTTTTTCTCATTTTTAAGTGGCCAGTGAGTTGTTTATGTACCTGTGGGGACATGGCTTAATCAGATTCTGGGAGTGAAACTCAGGGATCCACACTTTTCTGCCCGCCCCCAGGATGCGGCTGGTGAGACTGAAGGACAAGGTCCAGCGGATGGAGTCAGGCCCAGAACTCATTTCGGTGCCTTTCACTTGGTGGCAAGACAGCGCGAGGCAGCGGGGCGCGGTGGATTCTCCCCCTTCTCCTTCCCCGGATGGGCCCTGTCCTCCAGGAAAGGGCACGGTCGCTGGTGCTGTCGGAGGGGCCCTCGGGGGAGGCACTCACCGAGGATGCGGATCTGCGTGACGGCTCCGTGCAGGCCGAAGAGCATCCAGAGCGGCTGCGTGGCGTCCACGCACAGCTGCATGCCCGCCGCGGCGCCGTTATGGCTGAGGTGCAGCTCGCCGTCGGCGTTGACCACCAGGCCCAGGATGTCGCCGCTGTGCACCGGCCCGGGCACGCGACACACGGCCCAGAACTCCTTGCGGTCCGCCAGGGCCTCGGGGCTGAAGGGCAGGTCCGCGGGCCGCAGCGTGCCGGGGTCGCACGTGGTGACGCCGAAGGAGAGCGCCCCGGGCCGCGCGCCGCCAGAGCGCGTGACCTTGATGAAGATGGTTTCGGCCACGCGCACGGGCCTGCTGGTGAAGACGAGTGCGCGCTCGTCGCGCCCGTGCTCCAGGCGCGCCACGGTCTGCTCGTCCAGGATCCGCACGTGCGCCCCGGCGCGCAGAGCGTGGAAGCGCAGGTCGCCGTCGAGCTGCGCGGGCAGCGCGCGGCTGTGCTGCGAGTTGAGCGAGTTCTGCGGGATGGGGCAGCCGGCGGCCGGCGCGGCCTCGTCGCCCTCGGCGCCCGGCACGTTGAGGTCGCACAGGCTCACGGAGAGGCGCGCCTCGTCGGCGTCGCGCCGCAGGGACGGCCGCCTCAGGGCGGTGAAGGAGCGCGGCCTCAGGCAGTCCGGGATCACCAACTCGCTGTCTGCGGCCGGGGAGGGGGAGAGACAGGGCGACTGTCACGCGGGCCCAGCAGTCCCCTCCTCCCCCACCCCGTCACCTGCGCGCTTCCTGCCGACAGCCTTTCCAGTCTGCACCGTGAAATACCCACGGCACTGTGAACAGCATGGGAGAGGCTTGGGACGGAGGCTCAGCCGCTGGTCTGGGAAACAAAGTCACGCAGGACCTCTAACTATTTAAGTAAAGGATGGAAGCTGGAAGGAGGAGCACCAAATTAAAAAACATTCCTTCTACATGCCACGCCTATAAAAGTTTTTTTTTGTTTGTTTGTTTTTGTTTTTGTTTTTGTTTTTAAATGAACTTAACTCCCTTTTGATCCCCTGCGGCTAGACAGCAGTAAATATTTGTTGAATGCACTGCGGACATCCTACCCCTTTCCCCAGAAAGCCTCTTTGCATAAATTGTCTCATCTTACCCTAACAATTACCTCTTGAGTTATCATTGCCGCAGAAGGACACTGAGGCTGCGAGTACTTAGTAAATTTATCCGGGATTTCCTTTTGAAAGTGACTTAACTAGAAATCAATCTCTTTCCCTTTTTAATCGTACAAGCAAGATAGACTATTTTGTAGAAAAGGCAGATGAGCAAAAAGAAAAAATAATCACCTCTCAGCCTACCATCTGGGAAAAAATACTCTTTAATATTTGGGTGAGGACCTTCCAGCTTTTTTCCCCATTATATTCCTCAGTTACTTTTTCTAATACAAAAATCAAATCATGCTATATAAACTCCAGTAGTTTTTTACCTTTTATGGGTAACAAATCCCTTTGAAAATGTGATAACTTTGACCTGTGTCCTCAGAAGAACACATATTCTTCCTACATTCTGTGGATAACTTCAGGACATCTGTGAATCCCATAAAGCCATCCATGGGCATGGACTCCAGGCTAAGAACCCTGCTATACAGATTTTCTTTTCAAAACTAGCTTTTCCACTATGTCCTGAACACCTTTTCATGCCAATAACCATGTTTCCAACACCATATTTTTTTTAATGGCTGTGTTATGTCCTACTTTATGGAGTCCTATCATTTATAATAAAAGTCATCATGCATGATAAATTACCCCTGCATTTCATCCTTAAAACATCCCATGGAAGTGTTCCCGTTATGGAGATAAAGCTCAGAGATGTGACGTGACAGCCATCAAGTGACAGATCCGAGAATGAAGCAAGGTCTGTCCAACTCCCCACATCACATTCTTTGATTTCAGGCCTCCTTCTTTATTGAACCTGCACCCCCTCTGTGGGAGTCATAGTCCTCAGATTTGGCTAGTGCCACTGTAGACCACATCACGGGCCAATCCCTCCCCGGGAGCCTTTTCTCTGAGCCTCCCCAAGGGAGGATCTGTGCTTTCTCTCCAGGACCTGGATAAGGATGGCTGGGGTGCTGGATGTGAAAGCAAATCTTGGAGGACTGGACTAACCTGGGCGGCTAAGGCCAGAATTCAGCTCCAGCTAAATCTAGAGACCGTCTCTAAAGCCTCCTTGTTTTTGTTCTCCCCCTGCACCTTTCAGGAACAGTGTTGTTTGGGCCGCGGCAAGAGAGGGTGCTGGCCAGCCACTGCCCCCACCCCTTCCCTGGTCCCCCACCGCCGCCTGCCTGGAGAAGCCTCTTGGGGCCTGGCTAGTTGGGATTCCCAGCCTCGTGCTTGGCAAGAAGGAGGGAGCCAACCGGAAAATGCGATTATTCCAGGGAATTGACTCTGTGACAGCGATGGTGCAGAGAGGCTGGGGGCTGCAGAAAGGCAGAGGCAAGGTGGCCCAAATAGGAGGGGGAGGCCTGAGAGACGGTTGTGGGGACCTGGGACAGGCTGTAGGCTGACTGGGAGCCCTGGAGAACAGCCCCTGCTCCCCATACCTTAGGCATTGTGGGCACTGGCCCTAGACAACTCCAGGGTTGGAGATGGAGAGGAAGGGACAGGGACAGCAGAGTGACAAGAAAACAAAAGGCTCAGAGATGCCCGCCAGAGCCTATAGGAAGGCGGCTGTCACAGGCCTCACACACACACACACGTATCCCTACACTCCCCTCCCCACCTCACCCCACCCCACACACTCAGGACACTCCATCCAGGGCCCATGGAGCTGGGCAGACCATCAGCACAGGCTTCCGAATGGGGCTGGATGTGTGCTCCCCAAGCTCTGCCCCTTCAGGTGTCCTTCTGTACTTAAACGTGGCTGCTACTGGGCTTCTCAGGCAACCTGAGCCACTGATGAGCTCCTCTAAGAAAGCAGTTCCTTCTCTTAGACTGAAATCTAGCTCCCTGTATCCAAGGATATCTTGGATAGATTTACTTAACGTCTCAGCTCCAGTGTCCCTCTGTGCCAGTACTACCTCTGGGGTAGCCCCGTGGAGAAAACACTCCCCTCAGGGAATACTCAGACCTACCACACACCTTCCCACCGCTTAGACAATGAGCAGAACCAGACTCAGTGCTCCAGATGTTCCCTGACCCGCTCAAGGCACAGCGTGGCCACCGCCTCCCTTGATATTTGCGCTAGACTTCTCATAACATAACCTAAGGGTATTTGGGGTTTTTTAGGAACCCAAATCCATATACTGGTAGGCAGGACAGAAGCATAGTTAAGTGTAAGGATTTTGAAGTCATCAGCTGAGGTTCAAATCCTGGCTGCATCATTTCCTGTCCATAGCACCTTAGATAAATAGCTTAACCTCTCTGGGCCTCTCTTCTTCAGTGAAGTCGGCATTCACCGAGGTGTATCACATCTGTGCTCTAACACCCCGCTCAGCAGGGATGCAGTGAAGTCCAAATGCAGTAAGCTACAGAGGGCACCTAGCAGGTCACCTTGAGGGCACCTTGTAGTCACGAGGTAAGTAGGAGCCACTGTTATGGTTTACCCGCCCCAGGGCTCCGAAGAGAGTGCATGGGCTCTGGGGTGATCCAGGCCTGGGTTGAAATGTCCGAGCCAGCACTTGAGTCACCGTGCCTCCCAGCCCCAGGTCGCTCAGCTAGAGAACTGGGGGAATCACAACTGCATTGCGATGATGACATGGGGGTCAGAGGTAGGGCGGGCAGCCCCTGAGACTGAGGTACTTGACAACTTCAGGTACCAGTGCCTACTCAGGTCGTCTGCCAACCACAGTCAGGTTCCCCCGCAGCAGGCAACGAGCGCTCTGCACCGGACTGTAGGACTTCACATGGGTCATGAATGGCATCCTTGACTGAGGACCAGGAAGGAGAAGCTACGAAGCAGAAATGAGAGGGGAAAGAAGAGAAGGCAGGAGAAACAGCAGGGGGTGGGGAGAGAGGAGGAGGAGGGGCAGGAAAATGACCCTTTCAGCCTTGCTTGAAATCTTGGAGGAGTCAGGCGGAAAGGTACAGGAGATGCTGGGAAACAGCTAAAAATGGAATCCCCAGAGCCAGTGCCCAGCCCAAGTCTGTCTTCTCTCCCAGCCAGGCTGCCCCTCGGGGTCGGAAGCAGCTACAGGCTGCTGGCCATATCCAAAATAAGCATCCCCTTGGTGTGCCCAGCTGTGCCTGAAATAGATGACACTGGAGACGGAGCAGCCGGGCAGGGCGCCCTCCGCAGAAGGGCCGGCGGAGGTCAGAGCTGACTGAAAGCCAGGGAAGGGGCTGGGTCCCCAAAGCCACGGGAGAGTGCCCTGGGGCCAGGCTTAGCCCAGGGTCCCTGCTTGGAGACTGGGCAGAGGGCAACCTGTCACCCCAAGGATGGGCTGGCCCATTCGGAAGCAACAAGTTCTACTCCCCGGGGCGGGGACACATGGCTGCCCACCTTGGAGGTGTTTATGTCAGGGCCCGGAGCAGGGAGCGGCGCGAGGCCACAAGAGATGCTGCTCGGCTGGCAACCCTCTCGGTGTCCGGCTTTCATCCTTCGGGCAGGAATTTGTCAGTCTTCAGCTCCTGCAGAATCTGGCGCCTGGCGGGGCGGGAGGGGGAGTGGCGATCCTTTGCACCAGGGAGGAAATAACCAGGACCCACAAGGCCAGTGAATCCAGGGCCAGGGTTTCCTCCCCTCCAGGTGGCACTCAGGTCACCCACTCACTGACCTGCTGTGTGCCCAGGCCTAGGCAGTGGTAAAGAGAAGAGAAGCCAGCACCTGGGCCCCAAGGAGCCAGTCGGATGTGGGAGGATCAAAGCTTGGAGGCGTGAAAATATTTGAATATAATTTCCTTACAAAATTCTTAGTGTCTCCAGAGGAAATCCATTTCTCTCTGCCAAGCTCTCACCCAGCCTTGCCTAGAATGCCCCCAGGGACAAGCAGCTCACCACATCCCAAGGCTATCTGTCCCCCCTCTCTAAACAACTATAGCTGTTAGGAAAGCTGTCCTTGCACGGATCCAGAAGTGTCCCCCATCTGCTCCTTGGCTCCCCCTGAGCCTTCTCTTCTTTAGGATAAATGCCCCTTTTAGGATAATGCTCTCCAACCGAGGCTGAGGTGCCCTTCCCGTTTCACAGTGAGTCAGAGACAGCCTCTTGGAAGAAACAAGATTTGTCCTGGGCCCTGAAGGACAAGAGAGTTTGGACTGATGGACAGAAGCAAGAGGCGCTCAGTGGGAAAACGGCGCTAGCAAACGCCTGGAGAACAATCTGAGGCCAGTGGGGAGAAAGGAAGGGAGAGGAGGAGAGGAGGGGTCAGACTGAGGGCACCAGGGCCAGCTCTGGCAAGGGACCCACTGGGCCCACATGCTGCCAGCAGTGCAGGGCAACCAAGATAGGGCCAGGGCACTGGTGCCAGGGCCCTCAGGGCCAGGCAAGGGGCTCCTTCAAAGTAGGGCCACCCATCAGCCCCAGAGTCTTATTTGTTTAGATTCTCACCTCCCCATCCCTGGCTCATCTTTAACCAGGGGTCGGCCAGAGGCAGCAGGCTGGCTGGTGGGTGGGCATCTGCCGGCCCCTGTTTGGAAGGCGCTGCTGGCCTATTTACTGTCTTCATAAACATCCTCCTGCTGGTCAGCACCCAGCACGGGGCAAGGGAAGGAGC